TTTAAAAAGAAAAAAGTTAACGAATGCTTAACTCAAAATAATTTTCTAATTTTCGTGATTTTTCCATATTTTGTCAATTTTTGAACTTTAAATGCTTATAAAAAACAACTGTAATTAAGGATTTTTAATATTTTCATCTACTTTTGAAACAATATACTAGGAGTCTTCTGTTAAATTGTCAAGTTTTTTAACCAACAATTCCCGTTTTTCCTTAATTTTTATGTTTTTTTTTGTGAAAACTAATGGAAATTTTAAAATTTGATCTCCTAAAGCACCAACTAGATTTAGTTTCATATCGAACAAGATACTGTTGAAGAAAATCGAAGCAGTTTTACTGCCCCAAAGCGTGATGACAGCCACAAAAAAAAAAATAAAAAAAAAAAAACACACACACATCAAAAACTAAATGTGTGTCGGTGTTTTGCTATGATCTCTAAGATGAAACTTAAGTCTAATATATTATAATATAGTCTATAGTGATGTTCAAAATTGGTCTTGGTGCAAGACCAAGACCAACCGTTTGACTTGTTTTATGTTTGTGAATTATTAATATACTATATTATAATATATTGGATTTAAGTTTCATTCTAGAAATCATAGCAAAAAAAATACACACAGCTATAACAGGTGTTTTGTTTTTTTCTTTATATATTTTGTGAAAATAGCAAGAGTCTTGTAAGAGTCTTGACTCTTGGTCTTGTTTTGATCATCACTAGTTCATGGAGGATAAACGAATATATAAGCATAGGCGTGCGCACGGGGCGAGCCGGTCAAGCCCAGGCTCGACCTGAAACTTTTTAGGGGCATAGTAAAATGTGCGTATGTATTTAAATATTTTATTATAATGCTTATATTATAATAATATGTTCGTGGAGATCATGAAAATTTGGTTGTCGTGAAAGTATAAAAAAATCAAAAATATTTGTGTGTACCTACCTAACCTAATTTTATTAATCTAAAGAAAAACATTATACCTTTATAGGTACAAATCATAGGCGCACATAGGGGGGTGCTTGGGGGTGCTTAGCACCCCCAAGGTTTAAACTAACACTCCCAGTTCCCTATGAAATTTATTTCAGTATTTCACCAATCATTAATAAATTATTGTGGTTCGGATTTTTTTTTCCATTACAAATAGACAACAGTTCACGAATTTGCGATTAAAACAGTATTGCATAAATGCACGTTTCAGTGTTTCAGTTGTCGTAAAAATATTAAACAATAAGCAGCAATCATATTATAGAAAATCGTAATTATATCAATGAAAGGTTATAACCACTTGATTCATTGCTATTTACAAATTGTATACAAATTTAAAATAATTGCAATGTAATTTATTATAGTATTAGGATTTAGGATGGAGTTGGGGCAAAGCCCCCTTCAGTTTTGTGTAACGTAAATTATTCCAGCACCCCCTGAATTCACCCCCAATGTGCGCCTATGGTACAAATACAATAACTATAGTACTAAAGACATTAATAGGTTAATATATTATCAACATGTATGTTGGTGTGTTAAAAAAAAATTATATTCCAAATATTAGGGCACTATAATTGTCTAGGCTCGACCAGAAATTTAAGTCTGCGCACGCCTATGTATATAAGGGAATACCCCTCATTCAAGACTTTGTTAAAACCCAATTAAAAACATCCATGCAAATCGAAATACTACAGACAACAAAAGGAGTCTGGTTCTACGGACTTGGATCCAAAACAAAAAACAGACTACAGAATATGTCTACTATTCTATACTGAGTATACTATTCTATAGTGCCACAGGATGTAATCCTATCGGAAAACTACGAAAAGTCGGGCCTTTGACGACAGATAATTACACAAGATTATTAACTGTAATTCTTTTTATATTAAAACTATATCTATTGTCATGCGTAACAAGTAAACCAAATAGTTACAATACATATAATGTAAACATTTATCAAACTTCTAATAACATGTTGAATGCCAAGACATTTAATATCAAAATAAATTAAAATAATTTGTTCTATTATTTTACTTGGCCTAGAAATATACCTCTAAATTTATTCGACAGTCATATAGTTATATCACTATACTAGTTCACTATTACTGTCAGCAGAGCGTTGCTTTTTTCGCCAAAAATTGGTCTTTAATATTTTCACAATCCTTTTTCAAATTAATTTATAGGAAACAGAGGAAATTTGAGTAATACGTTAGCAATACATATGATAATTATGATAAAGTGTTATGATTTTATTAATATTATAGTTTATTGCACCTAGTTGATCAAGTTTCAACTTATAACTTATAGAAGTTTTCAATGAGAATACAATGTTAATTAATTATTTATTTCATATATTTATACATAATAATATGCTCTTTATATCCATATACTAATATTTGTTAGGTATCAATAAGAGTTACCATAATCTAAAAACTATTTGCTGTGAATGAAAATGGAAATATATATTATTATAGGTACTGGCAATAAACAGACTTGCTGGAAAATGGAAAGATCGATTTTGGCGGTGCCAGCCCTGCCAGCAAAACTATATAACGACTAGCCTGGAGCAGCTGGCTGCTATCCCATTTTTGCCACCGTACGTATATTATATATAAATATTGTTATGATATGATATATTATTATTACATGTAAAAAACGAATGCAACTGTATAGGATATTAGGATTCAACGAAAATGTTTGAACTCATAAATTGGATTAATTGACATTTGTGATTTAATTAGGCCATTGCACGTGTGAAACGGGTTTTCATTTTCATTTTTTTAAATGCTACCAAACTAGAATTTTTAGTTACAACTAAAATCGATCTAATACTTTTAGCTTTTTATAAAGCTATGAAGTGTAAAAATAAAAGTATTCCACACAGATTGAAGTACTTATTTTATACAACATATTATATATTATAGTAGGTACACCATTTTTCGGCACAAAAAAAATTATTTCACTAGAAATTACACTGTAAATGTACCCAAGAACCAACCTATATTATTATTTTTATTATTTTTTAGTTATATCTTGTGTCGTGCTTGAAGAAGATTTCTACAAATTTTTGTTTGTATATAATTTCAAATGTTTTCAGTTACCGGAATTAAACCAGTCTGAAATCTGAATTCCTGAGTACCTCTTATTACGTAAAAGTTGGTTTAACCGACGACATACTTCATGTTTAGAAAGTAGGAGCATCGAGTGAGTAAAGAAATAAAGATAAAATACTAGAAGAATAAAAAAAACTAAATTAATGAGTCATTCGACGTTATTCGTCATCAATACTAATAAGAAAAATGCGAGCAACAACGTCACGAGTCACGACAATAAAACATAAATTAATATTATAATGTGGGAATCTGCATGGCTTATTTCTATGTAACTATTTATACAGAACTGTGAGTAAAATAATAAAATATTTCACAAAAATATTAAGTTATTTGTGTCAACATATTAATTCAAGTTAGAACTATCTATAATGTGTTTAAAGATTTAAAAATGTAAACAATAATTTTTATACACTTCCATATTAAATTTATCCATAATAAATATTTCTAATATTATTTTGGCAAAATTATCAACCAAAATATTAGGTATGTTTATGTAAACTAACATTTTTGTTAATAGTCCTCATAAGGCATATTGTCATAGATTAACCTAAATATTTTGTTTGTCGATAAAAATTATAATTATAACTCTTCTAAATTAAAAGTAATAGTATTATAACAATACACATTTAACAAAAATGTTAATATATATAGTTTGAAGTAATATTGTAACATAGCATTTTTCAATTGAAATATAATTTGGTATCGTAGTCAAAAACAATAGTTAAGCCAAACAAATTATCTAAAAATCTGATTTTTCCCTTTTAGTATTATAAAATATTTCAGCTATAGCTAAACATTTTTCCAAAAATACTTGCGTCTTAGGTTAAAAAACCATACTTCACAAACTCATCGTAAAAAAAGGGGCTAAGTTTATATCGCTCTGCTGTACAGTAGGTTACAGGTGGGTCACTGTAGGATGGTATTAAATTATATAATTATAAAACTTGTCTTTGACTATAATACAAATATTAGAGCTACTCATACTGACAATATGCGCCGTCCCATCTCAGTTACTCGCGATCGCACTCCGAGTGAGCGTGAAGCATTCGTCTTGTATAAGCTGATTTGGAAAATCGCAAAAAGAACGGTGAATCTGACTTGGTAATCAAATACAGAGATGGATTCCCCTACATTATACCGGTCCGTAGATCATCCTAGGACAGACTCCATCAAGCATCAAACTCTGCTCTTACCCAATCAAAAAACTAACCGTACTCGACTTGTCGCTACCTAGGCAAGCACTCCTTGGCCTAAACAAAACGGGAAAAAATAACTCATGCTATTACTCCTACTTAACTGATCAACTATGCAATTGTATGTATAACACTAAACTTCGTTCTTCAAACTGCTCACGCTGCTACACTGCTGAACAAACTTTAGATTCTTTCTTGCATGTCTTCACTAATTTTAAAGCTTCATTTTGTAAACCTATTCATTTTTCTAATATTTGTAACAATAACATTTGTGATAATACCCTAAATTGCAACCTTAAAATATTCTATCAAAATGTTCGTGGTCTTAGAACAAAATTAGTCAGCCTCAGATGTTCTTTCCCTATGTTTTACTTTTATGATATAATTATCCTCACAGAAACCTGGTTGACTCCTGACATAAGTGACAGTGAACTTGGTTTCGCTGGCTTTCAAGTAATAAGACTTGATAGAAACCATAATAACAGCACTTCTATCTGAGGTGGCGGAGTTCTAATTGCTATCAAGGGGTTATCAAGGTTTTCGGGAGTGGCAACCGCGGTCCGCGGATATTGGAAGGGGATTGCAGTCTGAATTTGAGACGTAGGAGCCGGCGACGATCGCTGACTCACCGCAGCGGCCTGCCGACTCGGGACAACAGTGTTTCGATCGTCTTGGAAATCAGCGCGGGTTTAAAGTTCAGGATGTACATTTTGATTTAGTCCGTTTGGGCCAGGATAGAGGACGCCTTGGTGTCGAATAGAGTTTTGGTACTCTGTATATGTAGTACTCTTTTCGACACCAATGCGTCCTTTATCCTGGCCCATAAAGCCGTATTGAAGGCATTTTCCATGTCTAGGCAGACCGTGGCGCACAGCCGAAACGAACACGGACGCCGTGTCGACAAAAAGGTATCCGCCAACCCCCGGACTAATGGCAGCGGAGACACGATCCACTGAGGAGATGACTCCGTCGCATCCGTCGTGACTTGAAGCTCGTCAAGGGGCGTCGATATTTCCCGATTCAGGATCGAAATGTACATTCTAAACTTCGAACCCGCGCAGATTTCCAAGACGATCGAAACACTCTGTTGTCCCGAGTCGGCAGGCCGCTGCGGTGAGTCAGCGATCGTCGCCGGCTCCTGCGTCTCAAATTCAGACTGCAATCTCCATCCGAAATCCGCGGTTGCCACTCCCGAAAACGTCGCCTGTCCCTCCGTAGAACCGTGCTGTGTTGACGCCTGGCCGACGAACCCATCGCATCCCTCAGAAGTGACAGCGTTTCCGGTCGATTTGGCGCCGATTTCCACTTCGGACGATTTTCCAGAGCTATCGCGGTTCGACATTTTCTTCGATAAATATAATATAAGAATATATTATAATAGTAATATAATACGAGAAATTAATTTTTGACAAATATTATACGCAATTATAAGCGTAGGTACGACGAAATAATTAACTGTGGCAAATAAATGTTTATTTCAATATGTACAGAATATGTATATAATTAGAATCTATGGGGCCCTGATGATTTTAGGATGGGTGTTCAGAAAACATTTTTCGTAAAACAAATTATTTAGCAGCTGGATATATACAGAGAAAAATTATGAAAAAAAAAATCAGCTTTAAAGTAAAATCGGAGCCTGAGTGGTGCAGTGCGGTCGCATGCAGTTGACTTCGACTCACGCAGTCATCGGTTCGATTAAGTTACTAATTAAATGTATCATGCTACTATATAGATGTTTTACCATTGTACTATATACCCAAAAACATATAATAACTATTCAATTTACCTTATTGGGGAAAAATATCGTATAGTACCTACTACTTAGAATATAATATAGAAACAGAATTTATTTTTTTTTTAATCTGATCCCTCGAAAGGTAATATTTTATAAGCTTTGATGGTGGTTCTCCGAGGTCTTTGACAAGAATATACTTAACGCAATGATTTATCGACTATAGTTTGTGTATCTATATTAGTCACCTTATAATATTATATAATATAGCAGGGGCGTCATTTCAGTTTTTTTCCGGGTGTGCAAGATTTTAGGCAGGCCAATTTTAACATTAATATCTGAACAATAACCATACCGTTTAAAGTATTTAAGTATGTTAATATTATCTCCATCCCTTTTATAATAATAATAAAAAATTACTCATATCATCTAATTTATATTGTTATTCTCAAATATCTAGCAGTTAAAAGCCTTAAAAGCAACTAAGACATGTATAAGCAACTAGCCGCCAACAGAAGCCATTTTACTACTATTTGGAGAATTAAAAGCAAATACGGCTTAAGGAATTATTTTTAATAAATGTAATTAAAAAATTAAACACTATTCAATATTCATACAAAATAACACATTATTAGTTATTTTTCTACAGGTCCTAATATATTATCAGCTATGCTATGCTCACTCCACTATAGCTGATACGAACTGTCTTACATAATAAAACCACCGAATAAGACTCGCTTCACACAGTTATCAAATAAGGATACATTTTATAATAAAGCTGATAAAGCTGATAAAAAAAATTAATTTAAATTGTATGCATGAATCAGTGGTGCCAAAATATATATTTACTTGGTGTATGGTAAGGTAATTATAATAAATAGGTGGGTGTCAAAATTTTATGTGGAGGTGTCTAATGTCATAGTTAAAATTTTGGACTTCAGAGCCACTGGGCCAAGAATATTTTATAAATTTTTAATAGTAATCATATCGTCATATAGGAGCATTAATGGATTGTTAATCATTTATTCTATTATGTTAGTGGTGCCGTTGCACACCCTGCCCACCCCCAAATGACGCCCCTGTTATATAGTATCAATATGCATATTACGGTTTGGAAGCATTTGCTAATTGTTTTGGCTCCATAGTATAGACTCTTTCAAAGTGTAATAATAAAGTCATAATATGTCATTTTACTACGATTTAAAATGTGAAATCTGTAAGTGCTAATTTTTCTTATTTCGGTGGTTTTTTCTATGTACCTATTTTACTAGTTATTTCTGCCCTTTATTTTGCTGTACGTATTCTACTTTAAAACGACGCAGGCTGTATTCACATTGATCCATTGACAAAAACTAATTGGTGTTTAATTTTGTACAGTCTCGGGAAAATAAAATCAAAGAGAGATAAAATCACTAGCACAAAAACACCTAGTATTTTAAAATATAATTATAGCAAAACCGTGGAAGCTTTTGATGGTTTATTTGTTTTTCTATTTATGGAACATGAGTCTGTACAGGTAACCATTTTTGAGATCGCTTTTTTTTCGCTTATTTCAATGTTTTTTAAGTGCTCAATTATTAATATTATGCTTACACAATATAGTTTTAAACAATGATTTTTAAAACACTGATAACAATAAAATATATATCTTTACATAGATCTAGTACTTTTATGCACTAAAAAATCATCAAATAGACACTCGGTATGCATCGAAAAAATTAAAAATATTCAGTTAGTATTACACTAAAATATTAAATGTTTTCTTTAAATTTTTTATTAATAAACAGTTTATAATTGTTAAATTTATGCTCTACAAATAATAATATAACAGTCTAATAAAGAAATCAATTTTTCTTAAAATATTTAAATTTATTTAAATTATTTGACTTAATTCAATGTTTTGAAATGTGTATTTCTATAACATTTTTTTATTTCTTTTCGTTTATCTTGATAATAATTCATTGTTTCTAATACATAAATCCCGACAGTTTATTATGAGGTTCCTCATAAGTTGTTTTTACATCAGTGAAAACATTGAAAACATATAATCAAAATTTTTGGTTTATAAATGATAGATATAAGTGTTTGAAATTGAAATTTCGACGAAATTGGATATTCAATCGGAAAATAACGATTTTTTCACTAACAATTATTATGAGTTCGTTATTTCCTTAGTTATTTAGTTGTAATTCTAAACATATTAACAGTAGAAACTTGATATATTAATATATTACACTTTTAATTATTATACCTATCGTTATATTTTATATACACTATACAGTGACATTTTTAAAATATTTATTCGCTTAGTTTAAGCTATCCACCAATAATATCACAAACCTATTCACACTGTTCTATAGTAGGTACATAGGTATTTACTATGAAGAATAAAAATATCTTTATTCTTCATGGTATTTGCTTATATTTTACTATGTATAATACCTATCTCGGCTACACAAGATATTATAATAATATAATAATATTATTAAATAATATAGTTATGCGATGTTTTTGGTAAAAATTAGTTTAACATACCTTGTTATACTAGTAGATAGTCTTTTGGTTTTTAATTTAATTAAAATTTAAAACACCCGTTACAAATATTTACAGTGGAATATTTACAAATGAGGTTTTTTTTTTAAGTTTAGTTTCTTAAGTTTAAGTTTAATTGTAAGTTGACTGAATGCAATAAATACTAAAATATTAATTTTCATTGTTATACACTATTATACCTAATAACTACAATATAATATACATAGTTTATGTAATTTAATGTAATGTAATGAAAACTCAATCTATTTCACCAATGTAAAAAAAATGTAAGACAGGCTAATAACCTTGTAATTGATGCTTTTCAAAATTAATTAAAAAAATTTAAAAATTATACATAATGAATTATTATTGGTTATTTTTTTTATAAATTATATAATAACTACACACACAAAATAAGGCTCAATAATTGCAGTTAATATTTTTTTTAATACTTAATAAATAGTTAAATAAAAATGTATGCCTTAACCAAATTGTAAACCATAAAAAAAAAAAAAAAAAATGTAATTCAATAACTAGTGGCCTAGTAGCCGATGTTTTTGTTCAATAAAAAAAAAATAACAATTAATATAAAACAAAAAAATATAGAATAAGTACATAAATAGAAATGACCCTTTAAAATGTAATAAATGCAATCATTTCTTACCTTTTTTTTGTGAAAGACAGATATAGGGTTTAAAGAGGAAAACAGACCCATCCCCATAAAAGTTAAATTTGTTCATCATTCGTTTTTAATATTGATTGTTGATTTTATTACATATTATAAATGAAAAAATAGAAAAAAAACATTTTATTTATTTAAATTATATTGAATTTTGAATACGAGTGAACAAACAAAACAAAAAAAAATAAGTACAATAAAAGGTACATTATAAATTTATAAACATCTTAGTATATTTTTAGGAATCAATCTCTGTATTTGACAATGAATTCTCCAATTTTTGCAATATATTTTTCTTGGCAGTCTTCTTTAGAAGTTCCTTTTAAGTTGGTCCAAAACTCCCACTTTTTTTTGGCTTTCAAATCAAACATACCAGGTTTGCCTATAATATTAATAAAAATGTATTATATTATACTATTATACTGTCATGCCAGGGTTAGTAAATTTCTATAGATAATTAGGTCGTAGGTGGGTATGATGTAACCTAAATACCGTAAGTATATAAACAAGTAAATCACACAATTTTTTAAAGTATGACATATTTTGATTATTTTATATAGGTCTATATTTTAGTAGAGTAGAGTTTATTATTTTTAAGTTTGAAGATGTGTCAGTTCATGAATAACTCTAGAATATTTTAATCTCAATAGTTTACGAATCGTCAGAAAAATATGCACCCTTAGAGTTACAATACTACACCCAACTAACACGAGCTATTTTTTTGTTTGTACGAATGTACGAGTTTCGTGAAATGTCAAAACTCATACAAAACCTAAACGAGTGAATACTCATAAGTAATGAATAATTTTGTTCGCTATCGTAGCGGTCACCATAGATTTAATTTTAAATTTGGTGGTTTGCTGTATTAGTACAAGAAGTACTATAAAATCGATAAAAAAATTGCCAGAAAACGTATGTAACGAAAAGTATACGTTTTCCACTGTTGATATTATACACTTGATCAAACTCATGTTTTTGTTTAGCACCAATAGTATAATATTATTTATTGTAATATATTATAATAATTCGGATGAAATATTGTGTAAGTCTGTTTCTTTATGCCACAAATTTTTTAAAGTATTGTTTTGATTTTAATATCCAATTCTTGAGTTTATAAGTAATCCCCGTTCCCTATGACATTACCTATATTACCTAATATTTTTCCCCACACATCTCTGATCACTCACTTATCGGTTTATCAGTTTATTTACAGCTCTAATAAAAGCTTCCTGGTCTATTAACTATTTTTTTAATCGCCTTTAAATTTGTTTTAAATAATTTTTTATATTCCGGTAAAATATTTTGAATCGTACAATCTACAATCTAAAATCGTATTTTAAATCGAATGGGTGGCAGGATTTTATGGAACCAGTATTATATGTAGGTATAGGTAGGTATTGCATAAATAACCGAATAAGTCGAATGACTCAGAAATTATATTATGAAATGTGTCGAGTATTGACACAAAGTTGCTAAGTGGTCAACAAAAATCACAATAATTGATCATAATTTATAATTTATGATTAGGAACTTCTTAAGAATACTTTGAATATTTATAAGCCGAGTATTAGGCAGGACGTATGTTGACGTTATTATTTTATTTTCAAACTTCTTGACGGTCTCAATCGATAATAATTGTACTTTACATAGTGGCATAGTCTATAACGACAGTATTATTTTAAACAAAGACACATAATACAAACATTTAAATTCTCTATATATAAGCAACACAACTCACACAACACAGTTCATTATTATTTATATATTTTTTTTCGTTTCTCCAATACTGAAATATATTTAATAATCCATATTGTGCCACTCGATAGCAAATGTCATGCATTTAAAATTGAAATTTATGTTTCATTAATTATGCACCGTGTACTTGCATTACGCATTATAGTATTGTAATACTATAAATATGTTCTACTCTACTTCACCGTAATTTATTTTTCACGTCCGGGCGTGCATATACAATAATACAATTAAATAATAATACACAAATACAACGTCACACCGAACACTTATAGTATAGTAATACTATATGATAGGTATAATATTATAGTTTATTATTAATATTATAATATACTAACTGGTGTCGTTGTCTCCGACCGTGGCTTGCTTGAAGAGGGCGTACAGTTCCAATAGTTCGACGTCGGTCGGTCTCTTAGTGAGCGTTTTCACTTCTTCGGCGGCTGCTTCGAAACGCTGTAAAAAACACAAAAAAATAATAACAATCATAACGATATGTCCAGATACACACACACACACACACACACACACACACACACACACACACACACACACACACACACACACACACAAATACGTTACACCAAAATATAACGGAACAGTAATAATATTATACACCCATATATATATATATATATATAGGTATACACCGTCCAGCCAACGATAATAATATTATTATTGCCCGAACGCGTTTTTTTTCTTACCTCAAACGCACGAACACATAATAATATTATTATTGTTATTTTAAACGTAAAATATGTACAACGTACGCGAGTTATATTACGTGATGATCAATAGCATAATATACAGCATGTACGTTTTGTATAATAATATATACAATTGCACCAGGAAGCGGAAGAAATCTCTCGCTAAAGGCTATGCTTACAACAGGTAGGTACACTGTACAATATAATATTTTATAACATAGGTATATACACTAAGGTGTATATACCTATATGTTCTTCGTTACACATATTATACATTTATACAGTGTATACACACACATCATATAGGTTCATCGAAAATAATTGTTTTTATTTCCCAGAGTTGTTGACCTCTGGGGGCTCTGTGTAATGCGCAGGACGTAGTTCACTTGGAGATATAATATACGAGTTCACGAAGCGATCGTACACGATTGTTGTTGTATATTATTACAATATTATTATAATATACATACATCAATATACCATGTCCGTAAGTAGGTACGTTATAATATATGGGCACGCCGAAGTGGAAAAGTAGATAGTTTTCGTGACAGATTTTTAACTTTTGTGATAGCTATATAGTCGGTAAAGACCTTTACCAATAACGACATTTGAAGTTATATTATGATACGGCGCGTACCTGTTTATAATAATATACAGTGCAGGCAGTGGTTATAAGGTTGTAATAATATCACATACCTACTACATATAACAATATACTTGACGTCTGCGCAAAACAGTCTTTGATCGTTTCGAAATCATTGTAATACATTTTGCACGTCGATTCGCATATTATACCTACCATTTAAATTATTTTATGTAACGTTCCGCGCGGTCTTATTCCGCAAATAAACTATGTATTATTGGGACATTAGGTGCATGCATAATGCTTACACGTCAACGGTCTGCTGGATTTTAAAAACGTACCTAAAGTAATTAGTTGTCTGGCTCTCGATAATTATTGCACTTATTATTATATTTTTTAACTCTACGGTCTGTATAGTTCGCAAGTGCATATTATGATCGAGTGTTTCCTAGATTTTCACAAGGAGAAAATAATAATAATGATAAAACTCAGTAAGGAACCTAATGATGAAACGTATCTAATACCTAAATAACCTAATACCTATGTAAAAATTATGTTATTTTAATATATAGGTATCGAATAAATATGAATATAACGTGGTAGGACTTTCACGAAACGAGTCATTAAAAAGATTAAAATTAAATAGGCAACTCTTTACACTGCCCACAAACTCAAGTTAGATTTTATCAATTATAAACTTACGATAATCAATATTGTATTATAATAAATTGTTACTATGCATTATTCGGTCAGGTAAAACTGTAACTGACATTGATCGGAGTAAAAAAAAAAAATGTTTTATGCGAGACTATATAATTGAAATTCATTATGTATAATTTAACGCGTAGGTTATAGACCTTTGTTTTAATTTAAAAGTTTCAGTGGTTATAAAATGTTGAAAACTGTTTGCTGCAAAAATAAAATACGGCGTATAATTAAAGTCTTCTTTGATTAAAATAGCATATATTATTATGAAATATAGATAATCACGGATCGTAAAATAAAATGTTATCTCGTAGAAATCGATAGAATTTAGTTAGCTTGAAGCCCACAGTAATGAGTGCTATACACTTATGTACAATTTAATATCTAAATGTTCACATGATTGTTATCACTTAAATGTGTGTATAAATGTAATGTTATTATACCACACATTTAAATGCATTCAAATTGTATAAAACCGATTAATAAGAATTGCATACTTTACATAAGTTTGATTTAAAATTATTGACACCATGGCGTATTGTTTAAACGTTTTGTATAATTATAATTCGAAATCGTTATTATAGTTATTAAAACGTCATTAAAAAAAGAGAAACTCATTTTTTTAATTACAAATTTGAAAACTGAGAATGAACAAGCACATTTTTATTTTTGCGAATCACCGAAGAGAAGAATGATTTATTTCAATAGTACTATACGTTATAATGGTGTTATTTATAGGTACAGCAGCTGCAGTGTACTCAAACAAAAACTCGAGACATAAATATTTTAAAGACTTTTATCATTGAGACATAGTTAATAAATTAGAATTTTGCGAAAAATTCCTTTAATTAGTGAAAAATTGCTTGATTGCACCACAGTATAGTCAAAAATATCCTAATGAAAGTTGAGCCTTTTCTCGTTTACGGTGCGTACACAATATACTTAATACTATTGGTTGCTTTAAAATAATTTAATTTTCGGTGAATAGGAAAAACGTTTATATTATATAAAAAAAAAAATCTTCTTTATAACATATTATAAAATATTAACTTTGTTTTAAAATTATACTGTAGACAACAAAATTAATAAAATATTAAAATGTCTATTATTTTTATTATTTGTCTAATATTTTTATTGTCATACTATTTATCGTTATAATTATTATTTACCTCTTGTAATGTAGCCATGATGATGTAGTATAGCGTGTTGTAGGTCTGTAAAAATATTCTATATTTGCACGGACGTACGGACGAAAATGCACTGCGCCAAGCTTCTAAAAATCTGCTGGTCGGTCAATCGTTGCTGAGTGAAATGAAAACTGGTTTGGAAATGAAATTGTTTTTTACCCGTACTACTAGTTTACTATTGTCTACACTTGTGCATGGTACGTATAAATACGCACGCACCGGTAAGTGGTAACCGTGAACAACGTTTGAGTAAGTACGTCATGGCGCGACTTGAGCATATTACTACATTAAAATAACAACAATTATTGAATTAAAATAATAAAAACTGCGTACAGACTCGTTTATACTTATTATGTACACTGTTTTTGTTCATAAAAGTTAAAATCTACTACAATACTGGCCAAAGTATTTTGATTAATTTTAATACCGAATAATTAAAAACGTTTTGTTTTGATCTACGCTCTAGCACTTAAAGTTATTTCTTAATTGCAGACAAGACAACTCATTATACTCACGTAAACTATTACTGTTGTATATTATTATATTATATATTTGTGGAAAGTGGAAATGAAAAGAATTTTAGAGGTAACTAAGTATTTTAAGTACCCGTTGAAAAAAAACAGTACAAATTGTCAACTATAGGTATATATATATAAAATATATACTCGATAAGTAAAACTGTAAAAGCGATATCTAAATCATCCGTATGCAATTATAGGATAAAATGTATGTGAATGCTAGAGCCTTAGAACGTTTATCTACAAATATAAATACGACATATAAATAATATAATATAAGATATAATTTGATATTTGATATTTTGTATTGTCATGTATAGCCCCCACGAAAACATTTAAGTACTTAGGAAAATCTCAGGCCGCAATTCGGAAGAAATATTTACCAACTATAGTTGTAGCCACCTGATAAAAATTAAAAAATAGCCTTGATGACTTTTATCCTTGAAAAACCCTCTACATGCCTAAGAAAAACATGATAAAATCGGTTTAACAGTTTCGAAGATTAACCTAGAAGAAAACAGACATTTCAATATAAATAATACAGTCTATGGGTATTTTATGTAGGCTTATACAAACAAATAATATGTAATTATTATATTAAATTTATTTAAATGAATCAAAAATGAAAAAAGATTTATAATAATTGAACGAAACTGGTCATACCATGTGGCAATGTATGAAAGACGGTTCATGGCAGTCAACTATATCAACTCGGTAAAGGTTTTTTCCTGGCAGCATATTATTCATATTACAGTGATTCGAGGCTGACGAGTATTGTATAATAAAAATAAATACTAGCCAATTGTCTGTACTAGGCATGCACAGTGTTTTGAAGATATGGCATATGAAATATATCTCATTTCCGTGTGAAATAAACAAATCCTCTCCAGTTATTACTACACCCTACATAATATATTAATATAAAATTGCATTTTTTTTTATAGTTTTATATGAATTAACATTTATAATATCTTGTACATGAAAATTGCCTGTGCTGCATTGGTTTTCATATGAGATATCTTATTTCTTATTACGTCTTATAAAAAATAGTTTAATGGCTTTTTGGGAATAAATGAATAATATAAACTTATATTGTAATAAAAAAGTAATGGTGTATAGTAAAGCAGGTTCTGAGTTGAATAAAATCATTTGAAAACTTAATTTTGAAAAGATAGCAATCAATTATGAAAAACCGCATTCACTGCTATTTCTATAATATATAATTGTACACAGTTTCCAAATCAGAAATAACAATCTGTAATGATTGTAATAAATCTTACATTAAATAAATTTAAAAGTAATAGAGTAACCAAAAGTTAGATATTTAAGTTTGGTGTTAGATTGTAATATTTGATGGAATTGCTATGTATGAAATATCAATATGCACCTACGAACTATTATATAATATGAACTATATAGTTTGAACAATATTCTTAACTCAGATATTATAAAAATTGTATGTACATCACTTTATCAGTTTATTCTATAATATGGTATAATTATATAGGGTGATGCCTCTGAATTCTGAAAACCCACTAAAACCATTAAATTCATTAAAAAATGGAAAATAGTGCCATTCGTATCTGCAGCCTTAATAAAACAGAACGGGTTGGATCTACCAAAGATAATTGTAAAGAATTCCGTGTACTTCAGATTATTTTTTTATATGAAAAATATTCTCTATCATTCATATTAAAAATGACTCTCAATAGTCTCAATTATATTCATATAAAAGTATATGAGACACATTAAGATAATATGTTCTAAAATGTAAACTATACAAAAAAAGGGTACCTCTATATAGTCCAGAAATGTGTTGATTATTTGAGACCTAAATATTTCAATTGTCTAAATAATAATTTTAAGAAACATCTTAGAGTAAAAAATAATAGAAATAGAAATAAAACTTCATGCAATTTTTATTTAACTGAAATATAAAAACTATGAAAAATTGTTGTCTTTAGTCTTTATTTCTTGTAAATTAATTTAGTTTTTAGATTATAAAAAAATAACTCTCTACGACTCTACCTTAAACACAAGAGTTACTTAGATAAACCAATTGTTTACACTTTACAGGTAGGTAGAAGGTATTTACTTGATTAAACATCAAGAAAGTAAAAAATGTACTTCACACATTTTACACCATTATACAAAATATTTCTATACAGCACTTGAATATCATGTATACGATACGATACTTCATAATATAGACAATTTCACATCACTAATAATATGTATTATATTATTTACATTGTGGTTACGATAACGTGGTATAAAACATAAGAATAATCTATGATTTGACATAATAGGTAATATTAACATTGTCCATTGGTCAAGAATTGACCATAAAAACCGTTTTAATTGTAAAAACAACACGCTCTAAAATATTACATTTGATATAGCACACAAGGTTCGGTATTGGCGATTGTGCTTCTTCTCCTTTTATCCGTATGTTCATACATATAAATGTCTTATATATGAAAAATAGGTATTTCGTATTTAAGGTTTTGAGTCCATACTCCATAAGCTAACTTCTACATAGTAACAAACGTACGGACATTGCCTTTTAATGTTTATTCGAATAAAAGACAATAATTAACTTTTATTTTATTTTTACTACCATATAAATTGGTTAGGTTACTTATTTTTATATTCAGTAATACTATCAGCTAATTTCGCCTGGTAAAAATGTTTTAAATTGTATTTTACTGGACAGATGGCACTACTGGTGTACTCCTATTTTCATATTTTACAATTTTTACCTGCTTTAACGTCATTATTATATTAAGTGTACATTTTTTTTATTCTGAAAATTAATCTATACTATCTTTTCAATGATCTATCTATTTCCCCCCGACACGTATAGGTAGAGTTATTGGTACGACAAAAATGTGCTTGCGTATTAATATACATATATATATATAGGTAAATATAATAATAATATAGGTACGTTATACCTATATTGCTATATGGGATAATACATTTGAATGGCAGTGACTGTGGTCTGCGTTACCAGTGGTACAACAATCATACTCGTAACTATATATATAACTGGGTCTGATTTATGATTTTTGTGACCAGATAGACTAGATAATTAAAATATGAAACATACGTACATTTCCTCAGCCTCCTTGATCAAATCAAATAGTGTGCATAATTATTTTACATTACGCTTGTAACTCGTTTGTAAAGGCTTATAAAAACATACTTTTCATTTGTAAATAAAATCAGAAATAGAGTTTCACCTATGCTTATTTTAAAAATGTGTGGCTAGAGAATTGTGTGAAATTTTGGAAACCCAATTTTTTCAACACACTCGTTTGTAATTTATTTGGTGTTTTTGAAACTCTTTGCAAACGATTAAGCAGAACATTTTGGGTTACCCAAATGTCACCCATTTTTATAGCCTTAGTTTTGAAATGCAGCGATTAAGTTAGTTTTCTTTACAAATGAGTTTAAAAAATCTTTAAAGACAAATTATTGAAATTAAGATAACCCACAAACTTTTCGATGTACCCAATCGTTTGTAGAAAGTTTAAAATATTATCATTTCTGTACTATTCTAAGGTTTTGAAAAAAATTACACTTTGATAAGTAACTACAACAATATAAACTTTACGTTTGAACACATATTATTATTTGTCTTATAACATTTTTAATATCCAAAATATTATTGTGTTGCCAAAATATAAATACAATATCGCATAATATCCATGTATACAATATGTAAATATGGCAGTTCTAGATAATATTACAGAAATAATTGTGTAAAAAAGTGAAATTAGTTAGGAATATTTACGTCCATATTTCTCGTAATCCAGTTTACTGAACACTTCAGCGAACTCTTTTCGTTCTTTGATCAACACGCTGGGAAAATATTTTGTACCGTATATGATTTTTACGATGGCATACACTAAATTATAGTGTTCATCGTCTTTATCGTGTGACGAAATGTTCGACAAAACATACACTACAATTTTTCCGCTAATATCGGACACGCACAAGTGCTTACCGTCCTCTGTAAATTCTAAGCCGGTACACTTTTGATCGGGGTTTGGCATTTTTTGTATAAATATCGGTTCATATTTCGTCACACTTAAGTCCCAAATTTGTATACAGTTGTCTGAAAAACCAAACACATTGCTAAATAATTACTACAAAAAAATTATTATTATACGTTAACGACTATAAAAGCGAATGAGATCAAATGTTTCATAAATGTAATATATTTCGTGACTATACGGAAGAACCGGACTGAATTCAAATTATAATCACGGAGAAAAAATGTCCTAAATAAAAATTCTCCTATCCCTGTCCTGAATAATAATTTGATTAATTTAAATTCGTTTCGGTCTTTCAGTATAGTCACATATTATAATGGTAGTTAATAATTTATCTTAACTAATATTTCAAACCGTAGGATAAATTTGTTCGAAACCAAGGTGGACATAATATTACAATAATATAATGATGATAACGATTTATTTGAATTAATGAAACAGGGCGAAGCTCAATAGTACAGTAGCTTAAGCTTAGAAATTAGAACAATATTTAGAAATAAATAAACATTAAATACTTTAAAATATGTGTTATAAATAATAATAAAATTGTTTGGCATACCCTGCAGTATTAGGTACATTACATTATTTATGTAAATGGTTAATATACCCGCTAAAGATAATAAGAAAAAGGCTCATTAGTCGAGATTTTATACCTTGTTAACCTTGTTTGAAGCCTAATCAAGATTTTGAATTTTTTTTTTTTTGCTGTTTATCAGTATAATATTATATTTATTTCATCAAGATCGTTAACTTAATTGCCGCAGTAGACATTGACGTATTGTTGTCCATTGTACAAAATTACGAAGTCATGGTTGTGAAGGTTTGTATACAAATTACTAGGTGATTCTTTTATAAGTAAACACACATTTTATTGAAGAGTATTACCGTTTTTGAAATTATTTTTTAACTAAATTTGAAGATATTACAAAACAACATTAAAAAAATGTATTTTTAGTATATTAATTTTTTAAGTTATTTATTAAGTTGTCATTTACTGTTAGATTAGGGTTATTAAGCTTGAAAGTAATCCAATTGAAACGGTAAGTAAAAAGTAATTGTTGTTTTTCCAGTCCATGTCTTAACTTTTTAATTATATTAAAATATTACAATATATTTTTATGGGACACTTTATACACATTTGGGTGTTAGTTAGTTAATTTAAATTTAAGATTTACTTATAAGTTATAACTAATTAATTTTCATGCATTTGAATTCACAAAAAAATAATCTGCTTCAGAATATGCAATTTAAATTATATGGGGTCATTCAAAAAAGTAAAACACATCAAAATCATAACAACAAAAATAGAAAAAGTTTTTTTATAGTTACTATGAATTATGTAAAAAAATATTTCCAAAAACATTAACACTTATTGATAAAATGAGTACTTTAAAAGAATCACCTAATTTACGGTTACACATATTATATGTAAGTTATATAAAATTATTCCAAGCATGCTCACCGCCTTTCTTCTTCTTCAATAATACAATTATATAAAATTTGTTTTTGGAATTTTCAAGTATTCTTAAAAGTTAAAGACCATATTTTCAAATTCTCGAGATTTGAGGAGTTACCTTTGGAGATAGAAATTGCTGTTTTTAAAGGACAACCATTCTTTTCTACTAAAGATACATTATTTAATCAACTATTATCCTTTGTAAACATTTTAATTTTCTGATAAATTAATCATTCAAATTTTTAATTAGGAACACCAACATTTTCAAAAAAAAAATTGTCCACTAAATAATTTACAGTAAAAAAGCGGAGGTTTTCTTTTTAATAAATAAAAGTTTGTATCGTCACAGGTCACTCTTTAAGTACTATAAAATGACAAGAATTTGAAAACATGATCTCTATACAAACTTCTATTTTTATATTACATACAATTTATCATTTTATGAAAAAGGGTAATCATTCAGTATATTATATCAAATACATGTTGTTATTATACACAGGGTGATTCAAAATTTATGTTACAATAATATACTATTACTATACCTATTATCACCTATACCTCCTTTTTCTCAAGATGTATATTTGACAACTGGTTGCGACTGTAATATAAACATTTGGGTCAGTGATGTTTTTCTTGAACCAGTAGTAACTTTAAGTGTTGGCAAACAAATCGTAAAAGCTATTTGGAGCAGGACACATGTTCGACAATTGTAGCATCTATTATTGGTAACGTACTAGATGTTATTAGCCAAATACATAGAATAAGAGTTAAAATATACGGAGTGATTCAAAATTTGTGTTACAATAATATACTATTACTATACCTATTATTGTAACATACATTTTGAATTACCCTGTTTGTTCGCCGCCCCGCACCTACTTTTCTATCGCGGTTTGCGGCAACGACTTGCGGTGTGTTGAGACGGGAAAAGGTTACCCAAGTATAAATAATAATAAATAATAGATAAACTCCAAATGCGAGTACAAATGGGCTAGGCGCTTAATAATATAATAATAACAGTGATTGGAAATTATGCCGCAAAACAATAGACTATAATAGAATATGTGGGGGACGAGGTGGCCGAGCGGTCTAACGCGTCGGCCGTGGCGCTGGCAGTCGCGGGTTCGATTCTCGACCACCGGGCGGCATTTTTTTCCGGGCAAGTCACGGTGTCCGGAAAACAAGTGCCGCCATCCCCCCACTCCGGGGCATGGCAGAAACCTACGGGTGCCCCAATAAAAATTCTGCCACCACAAACACACGTGTTTACAAACCAACAGTTCCCTCCCCTACAAACTAAACAAAACAAACAAAAACAAACAAAAACAGCTAATGGCCATAGTTGCCGGGCTTAATGATCAATGAAAAAAAAAAAAAAAAAAAAAAAAATAGAATATGTATATAAACCAAGACTACAATGCAGTAACGATGCTGGGCACGGCGAGGATTACCACACGCCAGGGAAGGAAACTCCTTGGTCCTATGCTGGAACTGCGACAGCTCTTCTCAGTTAATCGATGGACGGTGCGACAGCTCGTACTTTTGCGCGAGTAGCACGCGGTTCGATCACGAACGCGGGGTGTCGCGAAAACGGCAACAAGCCAGTGGCGGCACGCAATAAACGGCAACAAGCCAGTGGCGGCACGCAATAAACGGCAACAAGCCAGCGGCGGCACGCAAAGATATAGGTAAGCGGCGGCACGCAATGAACGGCACCAAGCCAGCGGCGGCACACAATAAACGGCAACAAGCCAGCGGCGGCACGCAAAGGTATAAGCGGCGGCACGCAATGATATAACGGCGACACAAACCACGAGGTTTAACAACGCAACGACTTAACACTGAAATGCATCGGTTGTAGGTACATATGGTTTGGTTGCCAAAACCCAGTGAAACGCGGCGAACGAACGCAACGATGTGTCGGGTTCGACCGCCTGGAAAAGACACACGACTTGGAGGCGGCACAGCCTACGGCGGTGAACGGCCCGGAGCTGGACGGCCGAGGAGGGGGTAAGCCACCTCGTGAGCTTCGGCATTCGAGGCGCAGCTTTGGGGACATATGCTGAAAATACGGTGGCGCGAAAATGCGTCCGTGTTCGAAAACACCCCGTATATTATAACTCTTATTATATGTACTTGGCTAATAACATCTTGTACGTTACCAATAATAGATGCTATATAATTGTCGAACATTCCGGTTCCAAATAGCCTTTTCGATTTGTTTGCCAACACTTAAAGTTACTACTGGTTCAATAAAAACATCACTAACCCAAATGTTTATATTACAGTCGCAACCAGTTGTCAAATATACATCTTGAGAAAAAGGAGATTTTTCCAACGATTTGATAATTCCAAAGTGAGAAATTTTTTTTGAACGAGTCATTAAATCGTCATATAAAAATGAGTAGACGAAACCGTCCGCAGTGCCCACCAAATCCGCATTTTGGTTCAGTTCGATAAATTTAGTTGCACGAAAAACCGATTTATACGTTTTACTTTTGTTCAAATTCTTCTCTGGGAGTTCTTCTTTTATTAAACTATTATTTAGTTTTATGACTAATTTTTCCTGAAACTTGCCGTGAGAAAAACAATAACGTGAAATACAACCACTCGTATTGCACGCCATCTATGCAAGTGAAGAAAATGTAAATTTAAACCTAGTGCCTAATACTATTGTGTAGACATTTTATACTAACTATTAGTCATTTTATACTAACTAGACATTCTGATTTGATTTCATGGGGCATTTTGTTTTCAGTGTTGATGGTCCAAAAAAGCTCCGAAATGCTGGTAGTATCTAACGATAGTGTAGTGGACGTTTGAAACACAATGTTGAGAGATTTTTTAGAGATATCGATTATTAATATTTTCCCGCAGTCAAATCCAATGGCAAGATTATTCATTGTTTTGATTGAGAACTTTAAGCACGTAATAGCCGATGTGTTGAACTCGTAGAATCTATAAAATCGATCGAAAGACATTGAGCGTTCACATTAAGCAATGACGAAAATCCCAAACTGTCCGGTATAATTGGTGCTCAGTGTAAGAAGAGGGAGGCATGACAGTATAGCACTAAGTACCTTAACTTGTTTTTCAGACATTTTATTGAACCCGTTTATCTTTTTTTTAAGTGGAACGTATATATAATAATAATAGTTATGACATGTACATTTGTTAAATGAAGACGTAATTAGAGTAGGTATAGTGTGATAAAATGTTGAAAAAGTCAAAATAATAAATTGTTTTGTAATTCATCACACTTCATCGCCTACTTTTTACCGGGTATAACAATATTGTTTTAACGATGTAAAAGGTAAACTCGAAGAGCTTCACATAATATTTCTTACCATTCTGGAGTATGTTGATTTTTCGTACTCCACACGGCTACGGATGCGTATTGCTTGTCTGCGTAATTGGTGTACATCAGGTTGCTGTAGACAATAGCCAACAAGTGGTTCTCGGTCTCGTTCCAGTGCATGCATATGACGGCTAAGCCCTTGTCTGCATCGCCAAGCAACGTCAGTGTAAAACAGTATGTAAGACCGAAAACATTTTGGTCCAAGAGCGATTCCAAGTGCGATTCATTCTCGGGATTCATAATTTCTATATCGTTTGACCAAAATAGTTTCACGTCCAACGAGTTTTGGGCCAATATCCGTTCCAAAAACATTTTCGTATCGGGATGGTGTCCTCAGCTGCATCGCCATTCACAGGATCATTTTCGTCATCAAACAGTTGTCTGTCCGCGAGTATGGAATGTCGAATTTCCACATCAGTTAATTCTTCATCAATGGTCGATGGCGGGATTACGTATTGCTTCACGTCCATCTTGTTGAAAGTGTCTATTATGTTGAAATTGTGGACCTGAGTACCGGCCATACACGTGGTGATGTTCGAGGTTTGACATTCCACGTTATATGAGAGAATTTACTGTTTGCGAGATATTGTCGATCTTGATGCGTGGCTTTGATAAGTTATTTAGATAAACTTCTTTCGATTTTTGCGATCTTTCACAATCTCCATCTCTGAAATAGCGGAACTCGATTAAAAAATAGTTAATAAATTGCTTTGGACGTTTTAGGAGTGATTTTTTTTTGTAATTAATAATAACGTCCATTGATAAATGAAGGAACAATTTATTTTATTTTATTTTATTTAATCATATCACCATATAGGATAAATTGCCTAAATGAATTGGCTAGTACTTAGATGTCTAATAATTTACATTAGTTACAATTATACAAAATATAGGTTATATAATAATTTATAAGTTATTGGTTGGTGCCCAATAAGTGCCTAAAAATGATAAACGTATCATAATTATTGTATTAATAATATATTTCACTTCATTCAATCAGTTAATAATCATGGTAATCAAGATTGATAATTGATACTTTTTCTACATTTTAAATTAAAACATTAATACAGGAAAGTAGGTCTTGTACTTTTTTGAAATAGTTAAAGACTTTCTAGATAATTTATAGTTCAGTATAAATGTCTAAAACCTCGTAAAATAGTTATACAAGACGTTCAGATTAAAGAAGCATAATCAATATTCAATAACCAATAAGGGTTCGATTATACAGCATTACCCTTTTACAGTAACACTGCTCGGTACGTTTAAAATGTTAAACGCCGGACTCTCAGTAAGTTCAATTTCAATATGATCATCACCAATATTATTTTTGGGAAAGAGAAGATTTGCACCAACATCGTGTTTTTTTTTCATCCAGGCCTTCTTCATTGTGATATTGCCGTTTCCTAAATATGTTGTTCAGTAAATTGTCAAGGGATTTAATGTGAAGTTGACGAAAAGTATTGAGATGATTTTCTTGTTCTTGTTCCACATGAGTAGTGGTCCATATTTTTGATAAAATTCGTTGATCCAGCGAATTTTCATTAGAACTTATATATTATTCATATTTAATATTAGTTGGTCTCTGAGGCGTGACATTAGTGTCTCCTAGATAAAACTCGTATAGATTTTCTTGATTTTCGACCCAAGAACTTCCATTTGAATCACGTTGACTGGTTTTAATTGTAACCACTAATTTTATGGACATTTCATCGCTGGGTTTGTTTTGTCTAGATTTTTTTATATACATCTACCAGTAAAACAATTTAACAGGCTTAATTATTAATCATAAAAGCAAACAGATATAATATTTACGTTATTAACCGGTGCGATCAAAATTGATTTAATTTTGTATACTGCTTAATTATTATTTAGCTCATCGATTTTATGTTTGACATCATAAAAATAAACAATACACAATATTATTATTTAATGATATTAAACACACTTGGTTTATATAAATTACATAGATACTCATACACTTGAAGTATCGTGGCAATTAATTCAATAAAAAATATATATTATAGGTATTCTGTAAATTATAACATAAACACAAATCTATAACCGATCACCGGTGAATACAAATAATACAATTGTATAAAGCAAAGATAATATTATTCATAATATTATCACAATACGTTTCCATGAACCTACCTAAAAGAAAATAGCCAATTTTGTAGAGTACTATTAATTTAAATTATTTAATACCTATTTGGCTATTTATAACAGGTGTTTTTCATACCTTTTTTGTGTTTCATTATTTTAATATTATACAGTTTTATATAGAAATAAACTAAATACTATTGTCTATTACCTATACTAATGAAAAAGATATATAGGAACACAAGTTTTCTCAGTAAGTTGTATACTTCTAGTTCGGAAGTTTTCTAGAGCTTATTTTTATTTAATTTTCATTATGATTGATTTTATCGTGTTTTTGCTATTTATAGACAGTTTTGTTGACGGATTTGACTGTTGAGATGACGCAAGTTGCTACACATCAAAAATATCGTTTAGTACGGAATAAAATCCAGACATACATTATGAGGGGGTCAGATCCTATGCGTTTTTAGTACAACATTTGTCTTATAGGAAAAAGTCTCAAACCTCATATCATAATTAGATTTTGACTAATTTTACAAATTCAAATTTCAGAAATCATTATTAAATTTAAGCAATCACAAAATATATTTTAGTATTTTGAAATGTATAATTTTTCTTGGTGTTTTTAAAAGTTATTTAAAAAGTCTAATGCTACAAATAAAGTTTTCTTCTTTCCAATAATAAAATCAAAATCAAAATCTGGCAACACTATTAAGTCAATTTTAATCGTTGAAATGGTTTGATTTTATTATTACCTACCAAACGGTCTATTTCATAGACCTATAAACTAAGTTATTAGGTAGTTATTAGTTTATAGGTATATGGTCTGTTGTATAATTTTATGTCCGCCTTGTAACGTGACTAGAATTTGCCTGAGTTTTGCCCCTTAAGAAATAGCCGACTATGAAGTCTTTTAAGTTCTATAACACTACCTACAAATCTTGACAAAATATATCAAACCCCCTAAAAACAAGTATATTTGAAAGGACTTGATGACAAAATGGATAATTCCCTATTATTTATATAAAACAATTATGTTTTATTAGTTTTTGAAAATCTGTTGACATTATTATGTGGTTTTTACTTATATATGTTATTATAGTTTGCATTTTGTGTATATCGATTTAATTTAAGACACAATTGTTTCTTAGGTTGACCACAAGCTACATCACTATCTTTAATATAATAGTACGCATGCTATGCAGTGGCGTAACTAAAATTTTGATTCCCCGTGGCAAAATAATCCAGCGGGTCCTTGGACCTTGGTCTTATAAAATTGTAATATGAAGAGCATGCACTTAGTCACACAATTTATATCTAAATCACCCCTGCTATAATAGGTAATAAATAATTAAAAACATATTTATTATACAATTATGAATAATTGGTCATTTTTTATTACACATTATAATATGTATCTCATTTTTTTAAATAACATGAATAACTAATAGGTAAGGTAATAATCAAATATTTAAAATATTTAATTTTCATTTAAAGATGTGTCCCGTCAGTTTTATGAAAATTGCTTCTTTCTTGCTTTTGCTTCAGCAAACTTATCAATTAAAACATCGAAGTTAACCTTTCGAGCTGTTTCTTGTTCGATTGAAAGTAATGCCAGGCCACTTGTCGATCTTGCGTCATTGTACTTCTTAAATATCCTTTAATCATTTTTAGCTTTGAAAACGACCATTCCCAACTTGCAGATGTAACAGGAATTGTCAAAAATAATAAAAGAGCAGTACATAATTCTGGGAAACTTACTGTTAACGAATGATGCGTTACCATTAAAAGTTTCGCAAGATCTCTTGTTGAAATAAGTAAACTTATTTCATTTTTAAGAGTTGATCTTACAGCTAAAATGTCACTTGTGAATGTTTTTGATAAATCTTTATTGTATTTGTTAACTAACTTATTAGCTTTGTTTAAAAGTTCTAGATCTGTCGATATTGTAAGAAATGAAGGTTGTAAACATGTAAAATTGAGCATTAATTCATGGAAACTTGAAAACCGTCGATTAATTTGATTTATTAATATATCCAACGTTCGATAGAAAATAGTTACACGAAATAAACTTTTTGGACAAGTTAAACGCTGATCAGTACATAGTTCGTCAAAATATCTTTTCACAACTCTACGACGTTTGTTTTCAAATTCTGTAGAGATGGACCAACTTTTACCAACCATGTATGCTTCTTCCATCTTAAAATTCCATCTGTATTCTTTTAATTTTTCATAACCGTTTTTTAATAGGTTAGATGCGTTGTCTAAATCAACTGATTTTGACTGGAGAGTTTTCGAAGTTAGATTTATTATTTGTAACATTTTACATTGAAAAACCAAAGTACAAATAAAGTTGTAATTTTCAATTTGTTTTTTAATCGCTTCAGCTTCATTTTTCTCATCTGGCTTGGAGCTACAAAGTATAACTTTTGTTAGAGCTTTTTGAACTTCAGCAAATCTAACTTTAAGCGCAAAAACCTCATAATAACGACCAGCCCATCTTGTCGGATTAAGTTTTTTGATCCCTTATCCATTTTGACTTTTAGACTCCTTAATCAAATCTGACAATATACGTCATCTTACTATACTATGTCAAAAAAAAAAACAAAAACTCTTTCAACAATATCGAAACATATTGTCATTTCTGATATTTTTTTTTCACAGCATCATTGACAACTAAATTTAAATTATGAGCTGAGCAATGGACATACTTGGCTCGATATCTTTAATTATTTTTTGTAAGCCGTTATACATGCCACTCATAATAGATACGCCGTCTTAGCCCTGACCACAGCACCAACCGATAGTTATTCCTTTTTTTTCAATATTCTGTATTATTAGTTCAGACAGTGAAGAGGTGGATTGATTATCAACTTCATGAAATGCCAAAAAAGTTTCCTTTACACATATATTTTTAGGGTTTCCATGCTCATATTTTTCTATAACACAATAACGGTAAATCTCACTTAACTGATCAACTTTTGAAATATATTGTGTTGTATCAATTATAATGAAAAAAAAGAGCTTCTTTAATATTAACTACCAACTCGTTACCGACTTTATTTGAAATTAACTGTATCAATTCATTTTGAATTCTAGGGCTACAATAATTTATTTTATTATTACCCTGATTAATAACT